TGGCTAATGGACAAATATGACAAGGAATATCTCTTTTTCTTTCATCAAATCTCAAAAGACCTTTTAACAAATCAAGTTTCTTAAAAGATAAGTGCCCAAGTCTATGGTGCTAAACATGACTTGTTACATTGTGAGCTAACACATTACAAAAATCCAGAACAGAGGAAATGCTAAGAAATGAATTAACAGAATTACAAGAACCCTTGGTACTAACAAATTTATTCTGAACAAAATTAAAAGATCTTGCATCAATGACATATAAACCTTCAGCTCTTTCACCCTTGCCAATCATCTTCATCATTGGCACAACCTGAATCATACAAGTGTCTGTGAGAAAAGTGACACTTAATGAAGATTTCCTTATTAACGAACTTACTAACAGTAAGTTAAATCTGAACTGAGGCAAAAATAATACATCTTCAAGAATAAATTCAGGTGATAATTTCACATCTCCAATGAACTGAACTGAAATCTTTTCACGGTTAGGCAACGTGACAAATGAATTCTCAACTCTCCTCAATTTGTCAAAAGCATAACGATTGGAGCAAATGTGACTAGTAGCTCTAGAATCAATCACCCAAACCATAGGTGAATTGATTATTGAATTGGAAGAAACAGAAAAACATGTACATGTCATATGTTCAGAACTTCCCTTTTAGCGTGTCTCGTTTTTTCCAGTGTTAAGATGAGTGTTAAGCATCCTCATCAGATGTTGATATTGAGTTTGATTCAAGGTTTGCATAAAGTTACCAACATCACCTTTTGTCTGATCCAAAGGATTAATCCCCTCAGTAACTGACCCGCCACATCACAATTGGCTTGATTAGTTCGATTGTTGAAACTCATCTGATTCTGATTGTTTGTTCCTCCAACTCTCTGTCTAAGTTTATATCCAATAGAAAACCCATGCAACTTGTAACATCTATTAATGTCATGACCTGTATATCCACAATATGTACATACATGCTTCTCTTGCTTCTGCAACTTGTTATTCAATTGCCCTGCACTAGCCATCTTAGCCTCATTCTTCACATAAAAGCCCATTGAATTGTTAATCCCAGAAGTATCAACATTTGTATTCACCTTTTTCTGATTTTCCTCTTGTACAACAAGAGCAAAAACTTTATTAATAGAAGGGATTGGATCCATTAGTAGTAATTGACCTCTTATCTGTGCATAAGACTCATGTAAACCTATCAGAAATGACATCACATATTCAGTCTGATAATGATCAACAAGGTTTTTGTTACCTCCACAAACGCATTTCCCACACGAGCATAAAGGTCTATAGCTACTAAGTTCTTCCCATACAGTCTTTAGTTTTGTAAAATAAGTACTAACAAAAGATTCCACCTGTATAAGGTTCATCAATTCGTGCCTCAATTGGAAAATTTGTGGCCATTCTTCTATTGGTATCTTTCCTAGAGACCAACCAAAATGTCGCGAGCCGATTCAGAAAACATTATGCTCGTTGATATTTCTTTGGAAACCGAATTAAGGATCCAGGATATTACCAGGTGGATATTAAGAATCCAGGCAACAAATAGATCACCAGTAGGATCAGGAGCAGTAATAGAACCATCGATGAACCCTAACTTGTTCTTTACTAATAACGCAATTACCATGGATCTACTCTAAGAGGCATAATTATCCCCTGTTAATTGCTGTGAAACAAGTACCAAACCCAGGCTATCTGAATGGTGAAGAAAGAAAGGATTCGATCCATCATCAGCTGTTGAATTGCTAAATGATGATGTAGATATATGGATGAACTGATTCGGAATTTCAGACTCCATTGATTAGAGTAAAAAGAGGCATAGAAATATGTTCTGAAAGAAGAAAATGGAGAAGATAGTATCTCTGATTATAAAACGTAAGAAATCAATGAATTACAAAGATCCTATTTATAAATACAAAAGCAACATAACTAACTAACAGAATTACAGCTGGCAAGATACTAGAAGATTCTATACAAATGGCTCCAAAAAGTAAAATGATAAAATGCTGAATTGCTGAGCTGATCGAGCCACTACTGGAAGCTGGGAGCAGGAGCTGGAGCTGGACCTCTAATACATGTACCCTTTTCGGGGTGGTAGGAAAGTTCAAAAAGAAAAAAAATAAAAATAAATAATGGATAAAATTTTATTCATATAATATTGAGTATGTTTTACTAGACGTAAAATTTATTTTTAAGTGATATTTTGTTTTTATATTTGGAGAGACACCTTCCAAATCCTCAGCTACATGCCAGCAGCACTCATATTTTGCGAAGTTTTTCTTTGTTATGCTTTTGGCATTTCATTCATGTTTATATGCTTATATAGTACGCTCTTTAAGTTGCTTTGTGGTTTTACATGTAAATTCAGAGATCCATCTATTTCTTCTTTCTCACTAACCAACTTCTGATGCTTTTATGGTTGTCATATATAGGGTGTTAATAGGTACATAATTAAGGCTTAAGAATCCATTTTAAAATGTCAGTCTTATTAAAAAGAGTAGTCCAAATTCTTATAAATTGGTTTATATTTTCATCTTTATTCAATAAGAAATTTTATCCTTTAACATGTTCCACAAGATGGTCGTTCGCGCAAACCAATCTTGAAATTCGCGTGTTTTTTTTTGGAGTTTTAGTTGGAAATCTGCGTGTTCATTTTTTTTTTTTTTTTTAGTTTTAATCGGGTCGAATTGCTTGTTGGAACTTAATGGACTCTGATACCATATTAAAACTTGATATTCCATCTTAAACCAGTTAACCTTATTCAGAAAAAATAGCCCAAATTCATAAAAAATAGCCCAAATTCTTATAAATTTGTCTATATTTTCATTTTTATTTGATATGAAATTTTATCCTTAACAATAGTTATAATCAGTATTCCTCCCTCTTGTTCTTCACCAGTTACGCATTCGTATATGTAATTCTAGTTTTTCTTTTTTACACGTAGATTACTAAAATTCTCAGTTTTGTTGTATTATGTAATTTCCATTTTGGCAGACGAGAGGTACTGTCCATTTACTACTAGCAGTTTCTGAAGTTGTTAAATCATGTCATTCTGCAGGTATTGTGCCATTCCCTACTTTGCCAATGCTATCGAGTTTGCTAAATTACTGTTTGCGTCATTGAGCAATGGCAACAAGTATGCAAGTTTGTGTATAGCAATTTTTCGACTGATAATCTCTTATTTTTGTGACATATTCGTTTGTAGGTGTAAATGGACATTGTGTTGACTTAAACAACCCATGTTTGCATGATGCAGGAGTATATTCTATTTAAGGAAACAGTATTGTATGGAAGCCAAATATATTACAGCACATTGACAGCCTGGGGCTGAGACCGGCTTATATTTTTAGCAATTGAATAAAGTGCCAACTCGAGCAATCATCAGTAACGGACATGACCACCGAATAATTTAAATGACTTCTTGAAAGTTTTGTTGGTGGTAATGTGCTCCTTCTCCATTGCTCCTGCATTTGTTATTTTGGTTAGAATGAATTGGATTAGGAAATTTTGAACCTTTGTAGATCAGGTGGGGGCAATTCTTCGAATCTGTTGTCATTTTCTCTCTCTTCTTCGAGTTCTTGTACAAATATGGAGTTACGATTAAGCACAAGAATGGTTAATCAAGAAATAAACAATGAAACGATGCTAAATTAGCGAAATTGTTTGGATGTTCGGTTTTCTTATCAGTAGAAGGTGTTATTTTCCTTGCCAAATTGGAATAAAAACAATCCTTAGTTGAGATTGGATACGAAGTTAGATTAAAAAACTATTGGAAATTCACGAAGAAATAGATGAAAAATATCTAGCAATAATGCATCTTATGACATAATGATTGAAGGCCATTGGTACAAATTTCTATATATGGTTATTGAGTGCATAATGCCAATTGCCAAGTGAAGCAAGCATAGTACTACTTATATTATCTTCTTGTGCTAATTCTCAAACTCAAGTCACTGTGGATGGACAAGATAAATAACCTAGCCGCATAAAGTTGAACGTTAAATGGTAACGATGTGCTGGTATTTAGCACTTTGTCTCTCAAGTCCATGAAAAAAAAAAAAAAATACAGTTAGGTTTGTGAGAAAGAAGATTAGGATTATAATGAGTGTTAGTGTTAAGATTTGAGGTTTCATTTTCAAATGTCAACCTTATTAAGAGAATTAATTTAAATCCTTATAAATTGGTCTATGTTTTCATCTTTACTCGATATGGAATTTTATCCTTTAATATGTCTCCGCAAGATAGCGGCTTGTTTGAGCTGACCGATCTTAAAATTCGTGTGCTAAATTTATTTTTTAGAGTTTTAATCGGATCTAATTGCTCGTAAGATGGTTGCTCATTGGAGTATACCAATCTTGAAATCCGCATGTTCAATTTTTTTGAGTTTTAATCCAATCGAATTGCTCGTTGGAGTTTAAAGGGCTCTGATACCATGTTAAGATTTGAGATTCCATCTTAAAAGATCAACATTATTAAGAGGAGTAGCCATAACCCTTATAAATTAGTTTATATTTTCATTTTTATTATGTGAAATTTTATTCCTTAATAGTTAGAAAAAGGATTCATGACATAGCTTTTGGCACGGGGAAGTTTTATAAAAGGCTTAGTTGAACTCTTAAAAAAAAAAAAATTTAGGCCTCTTACTATAGAAAAGTTTTTGAGACATTTTTATGTTAACTAGTGAGCGCACGTGCAAGGCACGTCCCATAGTATAGTTGGCTACGTAATAGCGTGAGAATTCAGAAATAACAAAAAATCCAAGATTTTCGATAAAAATAAAAATAATCTACGCAGGAAGAATTCCATCAAATCATAAAAAATTTCCACTCTCAATCAAGTAATTGAAATCGGTTGAAATAGTATGCGGTTGGAAAGATAGACGTCTCTGCTATACTCTCTCTTCTCTACTTCTCAACTGCTAAATAGATAAAAGAAATGGAGACTAAAAAACACAAATGATTTGCTTCTAAAAAGATAATTTATATGTGTCCATTGATAAATGCTACATATCGTAAACCAATTTTGAAAGGTTTTCAAGCATGAAGCAGCGGTGTTCACCTAGATTCCAAGTGTTTTATCATCATTTTCTGAGGCAGGATCTTCTGCTAAGGTATGGAGAAAGGAGGGAGTGTGGAGAGGTCAAAATACCTGGATAGCTTAAAGCAAGACCTGTGCAACATCCCGCAACTCTTGCGTTGATGACTGTAGAGAAAGAAGAGCCACATGAAATAGAATGGTCAATCTAAGAATTTATTTTCAAATGAAGATGACTTACCATCGTCTTTCCCCTGCAACCTTTTCATAAAGCATACAACTAAACTGTGAACCCCAGACAGAACCGCAAATGTCTGGAATGCAAAGTAATATCAAAGAGATTTAAGACAAGAAATCCGCGCCATTAAAGTCATGGATGAGAAAGTTCAAAGTGGACCAACAATTAACAGTTCCCATACCTTAGCAGAAGATCCTGCCTCAGAAAATGATCCTTTCAAACCTTTCTTTTTAATTAATCCTGAACCTGAGACACATATCAAGTCATATCATATTTTGATCAACTGTTGCAAACTCAGAAGGCACGAACATTATGATCTTGATGATGAAAAAGTTCAGGAAGCATCTTCAATATTCTTTTTGGTGGCACTATCTTTGACCCAAATTCACTAAATCATTATTGTCCACCCATACTCATTATTATGCAGGATAAGATAACAATAAATCATAAAGAGTGACAGTAATTAGTTACGAACCTTAAAGCCTGAAACATGACATCTATTGCAGGAACATGATCTTCAATGGGAAGAAAAAAGGAAAGGAGAAGAGAGGGGAAAATCTGGTTGAAGGATAGAAAAAGTGAAAAGGTATATAACGAAAATATTTTCTGAATCATACCGATTTGTCAAACCGGATCAGTGTGAACACGGGGTGCCAAGCATGAAAACAAGCATCAGTACTGACAATTCCAATTGACAAAGTGATTATGTAGGGTTTAGCAAAAAATAAAGAGCGACTGTAAATTCGAAAACTAAAAAAGGAAAAAGGTGAAAAAGAAAGGAAATAAACAAGAAAATCAACCGAATTAAAAAAAAATTAAAATAGAAATGGAAGAAGCAAAACTGCGAAAGGGGAAAAACAAAAAGTAGAATAAAAATAAAATTATAAATTGTATCTAAAAACGAAATAATGTATAGAGAAAGTATAGCCTTCAATCATAATTTTTTTGACCATCTTAATTAATAGCCCAACGAAATTAATCAAAGAATCTAACTTCCAAGGCCACAATGCTATCATCGAGAAAGTTGTAGTAATATATACGCAAACCAAGAACTCGAATAAAAACCTAAAGTGTCAATTGGAAAGATCAAATTTTTAATTAATGAGCCGTGTTAAAAACAAAAACTTGATAAAGATCCAAGATTGTGCAACTGGAATAGAATGAATAGCAGAAAGAATCAGTTACAGGCAATTTGAATGACCATAGTAGGATGCATAATGCAAATAGGTTCTTCCATGTAATGTATCAAACAACAAAATCTGAAAAATCCTAAGAGTTCATCATGAAATTAGCAACTTACCAATAAATATTGAAAAAAAGGCAGAGAAGCAAAGAAGCAAAATGTAATGATCATACATTTGCTCCAGCTTGAATCAGTCTTCCCAGGCAGAAAATGTTGCCATGCATAGCTAACTAACATCAATGGAGTCTGATCCCATTAGAATTCAAGAAAAACAATGCACATATTTTAGCATCTGGAACAGAAAAAAAAATCCGAGAAAGAAATGCATCTGAAAATTGAGAAGAACACATTGTAAACCCAGTAAATAAAAGAAAAAACATTTTATACAAATTTAGGTACAAATAAAACCCAGAATGTAAAAGAATACCATGATGAAATAGAGAAAACAAGGATGAAAACACAGAAATTGTTCTGAAAATTTTATTTGGAAAAGTGAGATTTGAGAAGAAAATGTTGTATTTGTACCTTCAAAGAGCGAATGCATTTTAGGAATTTGGAAGCGCAACCATCACAACAGTACAAACGAGCCTTCATAACCTTGTAAATCTATGGTAACATAGTAGAAGTTGAAATCAAATTACATCTTGTGGTTTTAACCCTTCATATTGAAATTTGTTCACTTAAAAAACAGCATATCACTTTTGTTGATTTACTCCTCACTTCAACTTAGATTCGAATATCATTATTATTGACTTGGTAACTATGTAGATCTTTCCAGTTTCCCCACTTGAAAGAATATTACAACTGCTTTGAAAGTTTGGCCAGGAATCAGGGTTGCATAATTTAGGGAACAATGGACATATTGGAATTTGATTGAGAATCATGCTTTTTTTTTCATACCAAGTGTATAAATTTTTGTATTGCTGCGTATTACTACTAACTAGTTTTTTTTCCGGCAATTATTCACTAACCGACCAAAAAAGTAGAATCCAAAATTCACCATTTATAAATATTCAAATGTATTTATATCTCATATGAAACATGGAATAATCATCAGGAAACAAAAGAGGCAGAGGCGATTGAGAAATACAGAAAACTTCAATTCATTTCAGAAAATGGGGGAAACTTACAGAAGCGTCGACCTAGCAGCGGAGGCTCTCATTCTTGCAATTTCATTGGTCTGTCATATGTTCGAACAACCGCACACTCCGGTGCAGAACGGGCGGTGCAATGACGGCGTAAAAAGCGAACGAAGAGAAAGAAAAGTCCACGGTAGAAGCGATTGAAAGACACAGAACAACCGCAGCAGAGGCCACCAGGCCGCGATGGCTAGCGACAAAATTTGGGCCGGACATCGGTTGAAATCACAGAAATTCTAGGGCTTGGTTTGGAGCACATCCGTATGAGAAGAAGAAACATTCAAAGAGAAGAAGCGGGCGTGTCGACTGAAAATGAGGGAAAAAAAAAAGGCCAAATCAAACGACGTCGTTTTGTAGGGATTCATGCCAAAACGACGTCGTTTTATCGGACGAAACTGTGAACAATATTTTCAAAAGTGGCTCTTTTATTGTATAGGGAAATGTCTATATTATCCTTTTAAATATTATTGAAATATCTCAAATGCCCTTACCATATAATGACCATAATACCCATTTTTCAAATCAAAATTATAATCGTGAATTCCATTTGTTCTTCCAAAAATTCCAGATTTCTTTTTCTCATATTCATCTTTAATTTATCTATAATCTTCTACTTTTTTGTTCTTTTAATTTAGTTTTACCCAAAATATAAAGAAGCATATCAAAGAAGAAACCCTTTATATTTCTACATTTTATATTGGTGAAAAATTATTTTCACTTTTAATTATTTTTTAATCCAGAGTTTTTTATTTATTCATATATTCAATTGTCATTTGTGTTTATTTAAGTGTTTGAATATATTTTTCGATCTCAAATAGTTTTGAAAAGCAGAGTCTCGTATAATTTTTAGCTAGAAATTCATTAGAGACGTTTTAAACGACTGATGTCGTGTAAAACGACCATAGAAACGACTGTTGTCACATTATATTACTGTGATTGATTATTTGCTAACATTCTAAAATTTTACTATTCTAATTACATATATGGACTCAACAACATGAATTTCTATATTTTATTTTGGTGATTTTGTTAATGATGATCAATGAAAATGGACATGGAAATGAAGTGAGGGTTATGAATGGTGGAAGGAGTTCCAATATCTTCAAATACTTCATATCATGATTTGTATTGTGAAGTGCTAAATCTTTGCAAAGTTGATTCATCTTCGCATGAAATTGAGATGATATTTCTTCTCTCTGAAAACGGACAGTTTACAGTTCCAATTAAAATTACTTCAAACAGGCAAGTGCACTAGTTGCTATCTCTTAACAAAAAAAATAAAAATAAAAAATCATTGTCTCATTTGTGTAACCCTTGTGAACAAACTTTTAGTTAAGCATCTACAAGAAGAAGAAGATAATGATTCATTTCATGAAGTGGAAGACTATGAAGTTTATTGTGAAATGCAAAATGAAGGTGACAATCTTCGTTGTGAAATGGCAGCCGCTGACAATGAAGTAGATTAGACTGAGAATATTAATTGGGATGAGTTGGAGATAGCCCAACACAATAATGTGGATATTACCATTGAAAATGGTAACACTATTGTTTTCTCTACAGATGGACCCAAGATGCTTCAAAACAATAGAGACGACTGTTTTACAAACGAGCACCTTCTAGCTTCAACTCTCACATCACATGTGATTCCCGAAGATGCAGATTTAGAAGATCGCCAAATTTCCTACACAAAAAAAGATCTTATGGTAGAAGTCCACATGCTTGTAATGAAGTATAACTTTGAATTTAAAGTGAAGAAATCAAATAAAGAAGTCTATACAATTGTTTGCATAGATGAAAATTGCAAATGGCGTTTGCGAGCAACTAAATTCATGCAGCTTAATTGACACAAAACATAGCGTAACAATTTGCCGTGTCTTAAGATTAGAGCTTAGCAAGAGACCATATGAACAACTATAGCGGTGAAAAATCGCATCAATCTCCACATGTTATATGCAAAACTTGAAGTGTGTGTGTCTAAAAACTCATACTAGCATATTAGGATAATGATTGACTCATACCCAACCCAATGTAGTCAAATTTTTGCTCTCATCGCTCGAAAGATACACATTCCTCCAAACTTATTATTTTCACTCAATTATCTCGTGGTGTGTTCTAAGGTTGAATTCATTTATGTCTATTTCTTTCTATATCTCAGTTCGGATGAATCATACTATCATAATTTCACACTTTAATAAGCAGAGGTTCTCATATTTTTTATTTCTTCAACATTTGAGATTAAATTGAATTAGTTGCCTCGCATTAGAGATATGGTCTTATCAACTGAGTGTCTGGGGCAAATCAATGCATTTCATACACAAGAGTACTATGTAATTCATCAATAGATAGATACCATTTTTTCTTTTCCTTTTTTATATAACATATTTCCTTTGCTTTCTATATAACCCCTATAGCCAGCTTTAGGTCGATGACTCCCAAATCAGATAACTATTGGGCACCACGTTTTAAACCCTTGTAGGCTTAATCACTCGAGGTATACATGCTCAAACAGATGTTTTTCTTTATTCAATAATTAGTACAATACCCCTTTTCTTTTAGACACTCAGTTTCTAAAACTACACCATAACTTGAAACTTTCACTTCATTTCCCTCTCATTGGTTTTAGAAAATCCACACATAATATCATGCACGCCTACTCATCTCAGTGTTCCCTTGCAACAGTTCAATCATCTCCAAAATATTCTAAAAATTGGTCATGGTTTAGCACAAAAGAGTTTTTTCCAGTATATTCTCAATGTTTAACTATTTCTAAACAATGCGTCAAATCATTAGCTCAATATGCATGCATGAGTGTCGTACGCAAAATACTGATTTGTATTTTTAAAAAAGTTTAGGAACAAATTGCAATTTATTCTTTATTTTTCTTTTCTTTTCTTTTTTATTTTATTTATATACGAGGGTATATTGGTCATTTTATGTTAAAATTTGGTGAAAAGGACTTTCAGCGCAAAGAATGTGAAAGGTGGGGACGTTCTGCGTCAAAAAAGGAAAGGTATGGACGTTTTTTACAAAAACCTTCAAAGGTAGGGACGTTTTGCTTTAATTACCCATACGGTAATATCGACGAATACTGAAAAGTACTGCAAAGTTAAAGCGAGTTTCTTAGATTGTCATACAAATTCTACCAACCCCAAATATATATAAACATTGCCCTCAATGTGCATAAGATAATATTAGATACCAAATTTGAATGACATGCGAATATAAAGCAAAAGAAGGGAGAGAAGAAACTCCCCTGCTAAAAAAGGAGGCGGTGGTGGAGACGGAGGAAGAAAACTGAAGCTGAAGTGTCATCTGCTAGAAGTGGATGTTACTTTCGCTCAGAGGCATCTTCGTGATCTAACTAAATGATGGATGACCCGATTAGATGATGGATGACCTGTAATTATCAAAACTAAAGAAATTGAACATGGTTCCTAACTTAATATCATAGATGGAATAAACAAATAAGTAAAAAAAAAAAAGAACCGTTTAGAGTCTATGCTCGACTATATGGCGGCTGATCACGGGCACCTAAAGAAGGCTTTTGTTGCCTTGTCCATTTTTCTTCTTTTTGTTTTGATCCACTTTTCATTTGATATCCACACATCTTCCTTGTCATTTTCAACATAATAGGACTTGTCTGTTCCATCCGACTCAATTTCAACTACATAGATTTGTATCTTTTCGTCGGGCTTAATCACAAAATCAATTTTTGGACAATCAATAAAGTCGAAAAAATGTGAGGTTATTTCCTCATTATTGACCGCATCATCCTCGTTTAGCTCCATTGTGATTAAATTTTCTCTCATTTTTGGATCTTCTTCAATTGTTGAACTCTCATCGGGTAGAATGATTGGTCCGCAATTTAAATTCACGGGCAATGAGAAGTCGATCCCGATGACCCCTTCAAAAGTGGGTTGTAACCCCAATGTTGAAATTCTTCCAAGTACATCCAATCTCCCAAAAGCATCTCGCTTTCATCCAATTTGACCAGTTTTTCGAAATACTTTGCGATTACCTTTTCTTCTAATAGAGGAGGACCATCTCCTACAAGCTTGATGTCCTCATCTCAATTGTAAGGCATAAAATCTCTAACGAGCATTTACCCTTCATTATTTTTGTCAATTGTTTGCTTCTGACACCTTAAATATTCTCTAAATCTCATAAGTTTCGGCATGTGTAGATCAGAGTACGAGAACAAACATTGCCCAGTACAATGCATCGCATAGAAATTATCACAACTCAGGTATCCTTCAAGCATATCTTCATAATTTATGTAGAGATTATCAATTGCAAAAGTTTCATTACCTCACCAAGTTAGAATCATGCAATTACCTGAAAAAGTATAGGGAGAGAGTAGAAATACGAAATAGATTAATAGTACGAGGTTAGTAAAAGAAAGCAATAAAATAATAAAATAAAAGAAAAGAAAAGTTCGAATTAGTGTCAAAGTAAATAAAATCAAACTAAAGTTAAATCCCCGGCAACGGCGCTAAAAATTTGTTCATCGAAAATATGTTTCGAATAAAAAACTACTGCAAGTGTACGAATCATTCAAGTAATAAAATGGAATTTAAAATCCAAGTATCGTTCCCACTGAGATTTACTAGTTCGATTTTATCTATTCTGATCTTAACCAAAACGTGAAATATGGTTGAGTTTTGTAACTAAATTGTAGCTAAACTAAATGAAAACAATAGTAGATGAATTAGTTGAACTAAATGCAAATTATATGATTGAATGCAAATTGAAGTTACTCTTAAAAAAGAAACGCACTAGATTCGCGAATCCCTATGCAATAATCCATTTTAATTTTACTTCTATAAAATTGACAACATGTTTGAATTGATGAAAAATCAATGTTTCTAACTTATCCAATAATCTCTCTCGAGTAGAATTGAACCTATTTTCACATGTCATTTGACTATATTTTTATAATAAATGCAAAATACAAGAATGCATAACGTTTTATAAACACTTAGAGATTCACGTAGGATATAGCGGTATATTTCTATTTCCTATCGGACCATTCGATGATTTATACTCTGTCGAGCTTATTTTCCTTCTTTCAAATGCATAAAATAGGTCACCACGCTCATAGAATAATTGCATATATAATTGTAGAGAAAAAACAATGTATATAAAGCATTCAATAATTCAAAACGCGTTTTAATGTCAACAAAGTAAAATACGGAATTAAAAAATCACATCACGAGGTTCATCATTCACCTAGCACATATAAGTCTAGCCTAGTATGGAGGAAAGAAGAAACTCAGAAAAATAGATAAAGAACGACATCACGCCGNAACGATATCACCAATTTAGATTCTTGAATTGATTCTTCGCGTCGTGATGTTATTCTTCTTGTTTTTGCCTTGATTTCTCTCTCAAACGCTTCAAAAGTTTTCTCTCAGGCCTGCCTAGGGTTTGAGGATGGTTTCAGAGTTATATAGTTGCCAGAAAATTAATTTTCATAAGAGTTAGAACGAAATAAGGAAACCAGAATTTTCGCGCCCAGATTGAATCATGCGACTGCATAGTTATAAAAATTTGGCACTGTTCATCTCCTATTGGTGCTTGGGCGACGGCATGAACATTCTACCAGCAATTGCATGGTAGAACGTATTTTCCTTTTGATTTACTTTGTTCCCCAAATTTTATTTCATTTACTTTTTGACATTGCTTCCTTCTTCTTCTTCTTCTTCTTCTTCTTCTAATATTTCGTGACATCACAATGTGTTACTTAACTCAAGTTCATGCTTGATTCTTCCAATTCGGTCCTTTTTCGCTCTCTTTTGCATATTTTTCATTCCATCTATCAATATAATCCTACAAACACAAATTATATCAAATTAAGATATATTTCAACATATATATCGACAATTTTCCATGTTTTGTGGCCTAAATAAGTGTGCAAAATGCACTTATCAGTCCACATGCTTGCAATGAAGTAAAACTTTGATTTTAAAGTGAAGAAATCAAATAAAGAAGTCTATACAATTGTTTGCATAGATGAAAATTGCAAATGGCGTTAGTGAGCAACTAAATTCAAAAATTGTGATTACTTTCAAGTTCACAAGTATGCATGTGAATATACTCGCTCTATGAGTATTCACCGAACTGATGATAGACGGTAAGCTCGTGGGTTGTTGGAATACATATAATGCTTAAATTTTAAAATCCCAACACGGTATATAGACCTGCAGACATCATTAATGACATGTGTTGGGAATTTGGGTTATAATATGAGGAACAAAACCATGAATTTTACTGTTAACTTGGATGAAAAAACATGTACTTGTAGACAATTTCAATTAGAACATTTACCGTGCGAGCATGTAGTAGCTGCGGTGAAGAAGAGTGACTATTCAATTTACTTGTTTTGCTCTCTGTATTATACTGTTGAATATTGGAGAGTAGCTTACAATGTTACTAGTTTTCCAGTGCCAATGAAGTTGATTGGAAAACTCATGAAAATTTTGGCTTCTTCAATGTGTTGTCGCCGCTAGTACGACGACGAGGTTTTGAAAATTCCCCAACCTTTTTTCTAGTCTATCAGTCATTGTCATGAAAGGTTCTTGACCTCTATTGAAATTTGAGAAAAAAAAAATCTTTTTTTCCCCAATACTATTATATATTGCATTGGAAAAATATTGAAAGTTAAATTTGGTCTTCACTCGATCTCATCATGACTCCTTCACAACTTCCAAATTTGTTTATCAAATTTGATTGGATCAAAGTCTTATAATCAAATAAAAAAATAAAATTCTCCACTCTCTTTTTTGCACTTCATCAATTTGTAAAAAAATGATGTAAATGATAATATACAACATGCATTTTCTTAATAATTAATTTCCCATCCTTTTCATGTAGGCTCCCTTGTTGGACTCCAAATCAAACCCCCAGTCATAAACCCTTTGTGATTTTCTGTGTTTTGTTTACCTGCCAGTCAAGCCCCCAGCAGAAAGCAACTCATAACTTGCACGACCCCTTTGATTCCAGTGAATTCTCATCTTAACCGTTGATTTCATTTAAATCTATGATCGAACCTCTCTTTGAAAACGTGTTACAGCAGACACCTCGAAACGTGGCAGCTACTCCCTCTATTATTGGTTGTTTTCTGCATGCCATTATTAATGAATTTGCCCCATCACTTTGTTTATCCTTTCAACTAGGTACCTGTAGGTACTAAAATTCTACTGTGTCACACTTTAAAAGATATGATTTTTTAAAAAAGTTCTCTAAAAGAGTGAATTTGATTCAAAATCCTTATTTAATTTTCTCACAGTTTTTGTTTGAGGGGGCCACCACCTTTTTTTCTTCCGATATTTGGACCTGTACCTCTATATAAGAAGTAGCAAGTGTAGAGAAATATTTCAAAAGAAGTTTGGAACCGTTTTCTGTCTTCTCTTTATTTGTTGGAAGGCAAAGTATCCATTTCTTGGAGGGAAGTTTCTCCCTGGAAGATTCTCACTTTTCTTCAAGATTTTACTTGTTATTTTCTTGAAACCATTAATTTGCATAAAAATAGAGATTTTAGAGTATCTACAAAATGGGAGTTTCAGGAACCTTAGAGTACCTGTCTGAGTTGATGAGCAGTGGACATAAACACAAGAAGAGGAAGCAATTTCAAACTGTGCATCTCAAGGTGAGGATGGACTGTGATGGCTGTGAACTTAAAGTCAAGAAAGCCTTGTCTTCATTAAGTGGTGAGAATTTTTCATTTTCTTGCTGTCCAAACTGAATTTAAACCGTGCTGCACGTGTCATGTCTTTGATGAAAAAATGAACCAGACCATCTTTTATTTCAATTCAGCTTTAGACGAGACAGCTCAACATTTTCTATCAACTCACGCACATAGAGGCATGAGAATGTAAATGATTTTGCTGAATTTGTTTTTCAGGGGTTAAGTATGTGGAGATAAACCGGAAACAGCAGAAGGTGACAGTAACCGGATACGTAGAACAGAGCAAAGTGTTGAAGAAGGCAAAGTCAACAGGGAAAAGGCAGAGATTTGGCCGTATGTACCCTACAATCATGTGGCACAACCCTATGCGATTCAAGCTTATGACAAGAAGGCACCACCAGGTTTTGTCAGAAAAGTAGACAACCTAACAACTGGTAATGTCAAAATGTGGGAAGCAAGAGAGGAATATCAGCTAGCACCAGCTGGCCGTGACAGCAGGATTATGGAGCCAACAAATGCCAAACCATATTAGAAGATTCTGGAAGAGAGTGGGATGAAGGAAATGGCACATGTTTTTCTGTTTTTTGCTCCCCCTTTCTGTTGAATAATTTGTTACAAGATTCTTCATTAGTTTGTATATATATAGGAGGCGAGATCCAGTGTAAAGGTGTACAAAAACAGAATTCATAATTGTATTTCCTTTTTACAGTAAAAGAAAGGGAATTCATTTTTTCCTTCCAAATATTTTCTCAGCATTTCCTTTGTGTTTGCTAGACTTTTCTTCTATATTTGTTATAGGTAATGGTCCCAGATTTGAGAACCCCTACATTACAATGTTCAGTGATGATAATCCAAATGCCTGCTCCATCATGTAATGGTCGATTGGATGTTTGTCACTCAAACGTTTCTGGCTTCTTGTCAAGCTATTCCATTTTTGTTTCTTATTTTAATCCTTTTTTGGTTAATTTAGGTACTTTTCCCAAGTGGGATTAATCAGGCCACTGTTAAATCTTGGATGCAACTGGTTTTGGTGGAATTAATGACTTATGTAGAATCAAGAATGAATGGTTTTGTGTAATAAATTAATATGAATAAAATATTCTGCTATTGAAGAACCTTTTTTTTTTCCCTCTCATGCATGATGGCACCTTTTACAGAAGAAGAAGAACTTGAGCTGCTAGCTCGGCCTGCCTCGGTTGTGTAATTTAAGTTCTTTGTCAAGGCTACTTTAGTCCTTTTAGTGCTCAGGGTTTGGTCTTTGGTTGATTTGAATTCGCTTACGTTTAGTGGCGAGATGACTTATGCCGCTCATCTGGTCAAGTTATTTTAAACATTCTCGTTCGACGAATATTGTATTTCTTCTCTAGTCGTGTTGATTTCGACTACACTAGTTGCAATTTTAGAGTTAATGTCACAAATAAGTTAACTTGGACTAAACGAATACACATCACATGCAAAAACCAACTTAAAAAATGTTTTGAGATGTCAAGTGGTTTCAATTTAAAATACCAAACAAGCTGTTTTCTTCAACGAAGTTAAGATTAATCACATCACACAAGAATTCCATCATCTATTTATAGGACTGTGACAAACAAGTGTATGCCTTTGTTTCCACACATATCTATTTCGGGTTCTTGGTTTCAAGACCAACCTTAATTATATACCCATTACAAATTCACAACCATAAAGGTAGAAAAGAATGCTATAATTTTGAAAGCATGGCAATTTAACGTTTTGTTTCCTATAACTTAATCGATAATAAATTTTTCTACAAATATTCGTGCCACGAAATTTTCTTCTGATGTGAAGAATTGGATACGATAAGTGTTAAATTTTATCAAATACCCATCTCCCTTGATCCTTTAGTCCAATCTTATATACTCATCTACATGTATAACTAATAAATGTCCTTAAATCAACAAAACGAATTTGACTAAGGGCCCATGTTGCAGAGCTTTTACTTTTATTTATGCTTCTTGTAAAAGAATTTTATGAGGAGGTTACCTTAAACCAACTTCATCTAATAATTCTTCTAGTCAGAGAAAGCACTTTCAGGAAATTATTTAAACATCTTTAAAAAATATCTTTTTAGTGTCAAAAGTAATTTTTGATATTTCAAAAATCATGTCAAACGGACTCCAGCTTCTCTTTACCATCATACCAAACTTATTCTACATCAGATAGATAATAAATTGAGTGGTCCACCTCCCGGGACATAGTTCAGTGGTGCAAAGAACATGAGTGAGATAGTCACAGCTGAGCTGGCAGCCGCAGTGTGAGGGTTCGATTTCTCTTACAAGGTATGAAATTGAACTGTGTGATTTTTAGACCTCCAATCTTCAATGATTTGAAATGAAGTACATGACATGTTTCCATATGCTCATAAAATCAAAGAAACAACGAACAGTTTATCCAATGCTGGTGACTGGTGAGTGCAGAGAGGAGCAATTCTAGTAAAAATAGGGTGGGTCCATTAAATTATTGTTGGGATTGACCAAAATAATTATGGAATAAAGAATTCTTGTTTGACAAGAAAAGGAAAAAAAAAGTGGTCAAATTAAATTAGGAATATTTTTCTTTATGGAAATATTACCAAGTAGAAAAGGAAAAGGATATTTTTGGTATTATTATATAAGGAAAATAATTAAGAGAGTTCAATTGTAATTAGGTAACTTTTTGGCATAATTTATGCATATATATACAATTGAAGTTGACGTGAAAAGAGGAGAAAAAGAAACAGAGAGAGAGA